ATTAAATATTCCCTCCCGAGTATCACACTCGCCTAAGGTTGAATTAAATATTTTCACTCGGCTAAGGTTGAATTAAATATTCTCACTCGGCTAAGGTTGAATTAAATATTTCCTTCCAAGTACCAAACTTGGCCAAGGTTGAATTAAATATTTCCTCTGGAATACCTCACTCGGCTAAGGTTGAATCAATATTCCTTCTCGGGTCCTCACTCGGCTAAGGTTGAATTAATATCTCTCGTATATCTTGTCAAATAAGATTTAATTACTTTTTTCGGATAACCTATCTCGATTAGTATCTATATTCCCAAGTACCTCGCTTGGTTAAAAGTTTGATTATTTTCTCCTATCAACCCCTCTCGGTTAAGGTAAAATTTACATTTACGAGTACCCATTCTGTTTGAATGTTTGCTGACACATACCTCACTCAGCTATTGTCTAATAACGAATGACTGTTGTCGTGTAACGTATTTGGTTCAAGTCATTAAAAAAAAAAAATTACAAATATCATGGATACTAGTCATCTTTAACTTGTTCACTTTTAAACGTTATTTTAAAAGTTACCATCAATACACAAGTAAACTTGTCTATTTCATCCTCGGATGCAAGGCGCCTAACCCCTCTTCAGCCTCATCCTTAGATGCAAGACGCCTAACATCCCTTCGGCCTTATCCTTCGATGCATGACGCCTAACACCCCCCTTCGGCCTCATCCTCGGATGCAAGATGCCTAACACCCCTTCGACAAGGTGCCTAATGCCCCCCTTCGACCTCATCCTTAGATGCGAGGCGCCTAACACCCCTTCGGCCTCATCCTCAGATGCATGGCGCCTAACACCCCCCTTCGGCCTCATCCTTAGATGCAAGGCGCCTAACCCCCCTTGGCCCAATCCTTGGATGCATGACGCCTAACACCCCTTCGGCCTCATCCTTGCATGCAAGACGCCTAACACTCCTCTACGACCTCATCCTTGGATGCAAGACACCTAACATCCCCTGCGGCCTCATCCTCAGATGCAAGGCGCCTAACCCCTCATTCGGCCCAATCCTTGGATGAAAGGCGCCCAACACCCCCCTTCGGCCTCATCCTTGGATGCAAGACGCCTAACATCCCTTCGACCTCATCCTTGGATGCATGGCGCCTAACACTCCCCTTCGGCCTCATCATCGGATGCAAGGTGCCTAACACCCCTTCGACAAGGCACCTAACACCCTCCTTCGACCTCATCCTTGGATGCAAGGCACCTAACACCCCTTCGGCCTTATCCTTAGATGCATTGTGCCTAACACCCCCCTTCGGTCTCATCCTCGAATGCAACGCGCCTAAAACCCCCTTCGGCCTCATCCTTGGATGCAAGCCGCTTAACCCCCCCTTCGGCCCCATCCTTGGATGCATGGCGCCTAACACCCCTTCGGCCTCGTCCTCGGATGCAAGGTACCTAATCCCCCCTTCGGCCCCATCCTTGGATGCAAGGCGCCTAACCCCCCCTTCGGTCTCATCCTTGGATGCAAAGCGCCTAACACTCCCCTTCGGCCTTATCCTTGGATGCAAGGCGCCTAACCCCCCCTTCGGCCCCATCCTTGGTTGGATGCATGGTGCCTAGCACCCCTTCGGCCTCATCCTCAGATGCAAGGTGCTTAACACCCCTTCGGCCTCATCCTTGGATACAAGGCACCTAACACCCCCTTTCGGCCTCATCCTTGGATGCAAGGCGCCTAACACCCCTTCAGCCTCAGTCTTAGATGCAAGGCGCCTAATCCCCCCTTCGGCCCCATCCTTGGATGCATGGTGCCTAGCACCCCTTCGGCCTCATCCTCATATGCAAGGTGCCTAACACCCCTTCGGCCTCATCTTTGGATACAAGGCACCTAACACCCCCCTTCGGCCTCATCCTTGGATGTAAGGCGCCTAACACCCTTTCAGCCTCAGTATTGGATGCAAGGCGCCTAATCCCCTCTTCGGCCCCATCCTTGGATGCATGGCACCTAACACTCCTTCGGCCTCATCCTTAGATGCAAAGCGCCTAACACTCCCCTTCGGCCTCATCCTTGGATGTATGGCGCCTAACACCGCTTTGGCCTCATCCTTAGATGCAAGGTGTCTAACACCGCTTCGGCCTCATCCTTGGATACATAGCGCCTAACACCCCCTTCGGCCTCATCCTTGGATGAAAGGTGCCCAACACCCCCCTTTGGCCTCATCCTTGGATGCATGACGCCGAACACCCCTTCAACCTCATCCTTGGATGAATAGTGCCTAACACCCCCTTCTTCATTACAACCGAATACCTCATCCGTCAAAATGTCATGGGTAAATATATTATTAAACCCTCGCTTCGTACCTCTTCGGGCTTGGGGCTAGTGTACTGGATAGGATACTATTCGGTCTTACCTCTAGGAAAAGGTAACCGAGTACCCCTTCGGTCTAATATAGCCGAATACCCTTTGTCAGATTAAAAGGTAATTAATCTAATTAAGGGTAATAATCAAAATATTATCTACTTTAATCAAAGGGTCAAAATCAAGGCTGACTCAACAAACCCATTAGCCCATAACAATGCCTATAAAAGGAAGGTAGAAAGTACAGGTAAAGGGTGAACTTTTTAATATAAAATATCATTTATTGTGCATAATCGAATCCTGACTTCAACATCGAAGTGCCTTTTGCAGATACTCTCCCCATGTCAAGTAACATTAGCGAGATACGGAAGGACGTCACCCTATCCAAGCAGAGACTTGAAGACTAGTGTTTCTCGAACAGGAACAACAATAAATTAAGAAAAAGAAGGGTAAGAACCAAAAAATCAAACAAGATATATTTTACGATAGTCTTTTGTATACATTTGGATAATATTTATTTATTTTTGGTGATATTGGATAATATTTATATAAAGAATGGTTTGTCACGCGGCACATATCGTCCATGTTTTGTGACATTTCTTCCTAATTTATACATTAAATTAAATTAGTATTAATGTTTTCTTCAACTATTTATTTATTAAAAAATTACTGCTCAAACTTAATGAGACATTCGTATATTAGTATATTATCCGCTAAAAAAAGTCCATTTATTAAATCAATTGTTTACATTTTTTAAATTTAAGTTTTAAATATTCAAATTAATGTTTTAATTTAATTTTTATTAACAATAAAATAATATTTTTATCAATCAAGCTAGTTGTTCTGAAATTACCCCTGAATATTCGTCTTTGGCATGACTATGGTGCATGCCTCCCTAATAGAGTGACAATTACAAAATTAAACTGATTAAACCTAAGCAATCTCGGAAAACTTCACTTGTAATTTTGCGACTGATGTTAACCGCACAGTATCAGGTAAATAGATCTTTAATGGATACATATAATAAAAAAACCATATATATATATATTAATGTAAATAAAAATATTAAATATTAAATATTAAATATAAAAGTTCTGTTTGACTAATTTTAATATTTATCTTTATGCTTTAAAATATTAATTAATATAAAAGTTGCTATATAATTTTTTTTTGTTATAAGATTAATCTACTTGTGGGGTGGCCCATAAGAAAAATCTACTTAAGGGGTGATGTAGTTGTGTTTGATTTAGATGGATAAAAAATCACATATCCACATATGAACTAAAAATTGTGTTCTTATGGAACAATTCAAATTCAAATTAAGTCAAAAAATTGAGTGTCGATAATGTGGTTAGCAAGTTGATATAGGACATGACAACCAAGCAAATAAATAAAGAGGAGCCCAAATATAAACAGTGAAAAGGCAGATGGCGACATGAAACCAACAGCAATAAAGTCCATACTAAATACTTCTATTATTGGATATTGCTTTTGCTTCTTTACAGTTTGAATTGTTCAAAGGAAATTACTAACGAGTAAAACTCATTCAAATCACGCCCTCTATCCACTTTGACTACAGAGACAAATCCTCAACCAGGAAACAGAGAAATCAAGTCCATAACATAATATTAGTAATAATATTAACATTTCATGTTTCATGATGCACGGAAGCCACACACAGCTCGTTTTTTTCACAGATTGTATCTGACAATGCACATACTCAATTTTTCATGTGAAAGCATCGACGAAAAAAAAAAGACCACCGTTGAAATAAATTTTTCCATGTACGTGCTCGTTTCTTGTGAAGAAAATCAATGGCCTTCGACTTCGTTTGAAGAAGTTGCAGTAATTCAAATGGTTTCACTCTATGGTGACAGATGTGATTAAATATCGATGCCCATTTCATTAGTCAACGATTAATTGTATTTCATATTTTATATTTTTAACTTTTTTTTTTAGATTTGAACCCGAATTTAACAAAGCAAAATCTAGTTTGATTGGATTTGAATTTTTTTTCTATTTAGAATAGTCGAGTTTGATTTGAATTTAAAGATTTTGGTATCCATCCCATAACCGCCCTTGTCTCCTATATTTTCAATATATAATTTTAATTCAAGTATCATCAAAGTGCATGTAAATGAAAAAAAAAAAATATCATCTAAAATTTTTGGGAGTACAAGTTGAGTTTAGATTTGATAAGAGGTAAATCTGTCGTGCCACAAAATTTTGTAGTTTACGAAAGAAAAAAAATCATACATATCCCTATGTTGAGTGGCCGAAACTATATGTAATCTCATACTAAAAAAAATTTCTTCCTCTGTTACCATCATTGTATTATACTATACTACTTGTATTTTTTATAGTATAATAATGTTTTAATTTATGTAACTACAATTTTATTCATGCTACTCATTCTTAATGAATTTGAAATATGATATATAAATTTCTAACAAGAAATAGATCCTTTCGTCTATTTAACACTTTATGTTAAAAATTTGTATTTATTTCTTTTTTTTTCAAAATTTAAAATAAACTTTATAAAGTAATAGAAAGATTATTTTAAAAAAATGTACAGAGTATCTAACAAAACTCAACACAAAAAATTAACATGAAATGTTTAAATTTGAGGTGAGAAGATGCATTTCCCTTCCAACACAGACTCAATCAAAACATGGGTGAATCAGAAGAGGGAGAATAATTCACCAAATTAAAGATGCTATTCCAATAGTTCTTGCTATCTTCATAGAACTCACTGCCACTGCCACTTCCATGACATTTATTGGACTCTTCAGCACCGTCCGGCGACAAGCTCCGGTCATCGGAATCATTATTAAGCAAAAGGTTGGTGAAACCCTCCTCAGCAACAGGTGCATGTGCACCACTTGCACTGGTCCTAAGAGACTCAGTTGCTGAACCCCACGTGGTTTCCATGGTCATTGTCATGAGTTCATGAAGATTAGACGTAAAAGGCATTGAATTCTCCATGCCATCTTTGTATTCTGCCAAATGGGTCGCACTTTCGTAACCTTTCCACTCTTGTTCACCTTCTTCTTTCACTGTCCCTCTCTCTGAAGAAAAACCCACAAACTCTATCATACTTGTCATAATTGGTGGTGCATTGTTCTCAGAAAAAGATAAGGTAGAAGTAGGAGACTCAAGGTCAAGGTCACCACTAGCATTGATCCTAGTTGTTGCAACAAGAGAACGTGATGATGATGATGAGGGTATCACTGGAGCTGAAGAAGATGATGATGATGCAGATGATGAAGAAGATGATGGTGGTGGTGGAAAACCACAAGTTCCAAGGTGGTGCTGAAGTGAGTTATGTGAACGTAGTTTTGATTCCCTAACCAATCTTGCTTCAGCTTCGAGCCTAGCACTCTCCCACTGAGCCATGTGGCTTAGGTTTGCAGCACTCTTGGAATGACCCTCACTAGAGAGGAGGGCATCGTTCTTGGGCTTGTGGGTCACTGGGTCAATGCCCATTTTGGTTAACCTTTTCTTAAGATGTGTGTTCCAGTAGTTCTTTATCTCATTATCTGTTCTCTTTGGCAAATGCGTGGCTATTGCCGACCACCTGAGTTCAACACAACACATTACTCACATACATGCCATACAAATCAATCAATGCTCTCCAATGCATCCAAAAACTGCTACTTTAACAACAATCCAAAGCTTATAGTTTGAAGGCTATAAGTTATAACCGATAACTTAATTAGTAAAAAGTTTCATCTGATTGAATTAATTTTTTTTATCAAATTAGTAAATAAATAGTTGAAATATCTTAAATGACAAAAAAAAAGTAATAAAATTATTTTGTATGAATATTATTTGTTAATGAGAATTATTTATTAAAATCTTATTACTTCCTGTAATTCACATGAGATGTCATTTAGTATTAATGAACATATTTCTAAAATTCCTAATAAATACAAATATTATTAAAAATAATTAATAAAATTTTGATATTATATAGTGCTAAATAAATTAAAAAAAATAAAAAATGTTGAAGTGATAGTATATATAAAACAAACAGAGTATTTTTTAACCAAAATATCAAGAGTAGTAGTTAGTAAGACTAAATGTAAGTTTCGGAGATAAAAAGGTGTATAGATGAAGTGTCCAAGTTAGAAATGGCATTCATGGATGGACCATTGATTCAGCTTGGTGAAGAAGAAGATCCTTTTTGTTGCATTTAAGGACCGTCTTGAATAAACTATTGGGTGTCAGGGAGTAAATTTATGAAATTGCAGAAAGCTTAATTAAAATTGTGTGTGTTGGAAATGTGGGATAGCATATATATATGTGGTTCAAAACATTGAGATGTCATGGCATTTAAGACATTCTGCTCATCAAGGGAGTTGGAAAGGCAAAGAAATTATAGCACCTGCTTGTAAAATGACTGAAACATAGTGTTTGTGTAAGAAAGCGAGTATAAAATATATATGAAGTTGTCAAAGAGAAGGTTCACAACTCTTTTCATTTCGTTTTCCTAAATTGTAATTTTCAAAAATAAAAAAAGTTGCACAAAGCAAATAAATGCACTGTTCTCACCCTCAAAAAATAAAAAATAAAATAAATAAATCTTGAGTTTTGATCAAATCCGGTACTTGTACCATAACGGATTGATGTGAAAAAGGATGAAAGTAATCAAATGAAACTCGTATGAACATCCAAGAACAAAACCCTGAAGACTTAACCTGCCACTCAAAATAAAAAATCCCGATATACTTAACTAATGTTCTAAACAAAGTAGTTAAGGAATAAAAATAAAATTTTGTATTAAAAAGCATAAAAAGAATCACACATCTCTATAATTTTTAATTAATTTTTATATAATTTTTAATAAAAAATTATTATATTTATTAATTTATTAACCAGTGTTTTTAACAAAGACACTAGTTAATAATACCCATGTACTTAAATTAAGATACCAAACCTGTTCCCTAAGAGTGCATGGAGTTGAATGATGGTTTGTTCTTCTTGCAAACTGAACTTTCCCCTCTTAATATCAGGCCTTAGATAATTAGTCCATCTCAATCTGCAACTCTTGCCACACCTCTGAAGCCCTATACACAAATACAAAGGCAAGAACTTCAGTTTACACTTTGCAATATATATAGTGAACTACACAGCAAAAAACGTTTAATATACTATAAAGTTACCAGCTTTAGTTGGCAAAGCACGCCAGCTTCCATGACCATGTTCTTCAATATAAGCCAAGAGCTTCTGATCTTCCTCTGGTGTCCATGGTCCTTTCTTTAAACCCACCTTGTCACAGCATGGTGATCGCCCCATTTGGAGAAAGTGGAACAGTGCTAAGTGCTGTGGTCGCTTTTCTATTCTTTTTATAGCACAAGATGATGCAAAGAGAGAAATAATGAAGGATATATAAACTTGGACTTGTAAAAGAAGAGATAACAATAATGGGCAATGAAGAAAGGTCAGCGAAATAAATGAGATAAGAAACTAACTTCACAAATACTTTGTGGATTAACATTACCACCATAATACCCTCAATATTGCCTACAATTGAATGTTGTATGCTGCATTATTTGTGAAAAATATAGTGGTTCTATTGTCTTTTCATACCATTTCGGTAGAATTTTAAACTTATCGACAGCTTTGAACTACCAAGTTAAAGCCATAATTTTTTAGTGACACGTCACTAGGAATTTATGGCGTAGCTAGGGACGATTTTAATTGTTTGTATGAAGGAGACTTTTCGTGGACCTTACATAAAAATTGTTCATGAATGAGTTTGGGTATATTTTGATAAGGAAAATTATAATATATTATATTTTTTTTTACATGTTGGTAACGTGTAGGATTGGTTAAAATGTGTTATTGGATAAAACCATTGATGGGTTAAACTACGGGATCAATTTCTCTTTAACATGTGATCTCAATAAAGAAGCCATTGCTAATATGAACGATAAACATGATTCACAATCCTACAGCCGTTACACACGTTTTATCCTGTGAATCGTCCCATCCAATGAAGACAAAAGATTGCAGAGCGCATGATCTTATATAAAGGAATTAGTAGCTAATATATTTTCAACTAGGCATTGATCAATTTTCAGTATGATATACTTCGATTGTTAGAGCACACAATAACTTAAGCATCATCAAGCATTCACTTAAAAAAGAAAGAGAAGACCAATGAAACAAATCTCCTTAACTTAATCTTGGTGTACAGATTAATCTAATTTACACTATCTCATTAGTGTTTGACTCAGTTTTTTTAACTTATTTCTTTTCCTTTTGAAGTATAACTTTCTCTAATTAATTAGTTCCCGAAATTTGTAATTTCAACAACTATTTTAAATATTTACACTATATATTTATATTTTACTTCATTTGTTTATATATTTCTCTTTCCCAATATATTACCCTAAAATCAAGATAAACTGCATTACCGTATATGGTGTTCCCCTACAATAGCTTTTAAGGAGATGTTCAAACGCCATTTCCCCTAGTTTTTATAAAAATTCTAGAGATTGTTATTTTAGAATTTTTTTAATTACAAAATTATCATCCCAAACCTTTTTTTCTTTTTATCAATCCAAAAACATTTTTTTCTTATTTTTTATTGTGAAAATTTTTTTTTGCACTATCAAGAGAGAGACACCTTTATATTATATTTGGGAGGATGCATGTATACATACAAATATTAAAAATTAAATAAAACAAAAAATAAATTCATGTATAATTATATAATTAATTTTCAGTAGTTTAAATAATGAAATTGTTATTTTTTTAACCTAAACTCGAAGGTTTTCTTGATTAGTATTATAATTAATAATCTTGATTTACTTTTTACTTTTACACACTCTTTTCCTCTCCCAATTATCTCTTGCCTGGCTCCAAAGGATGTATATACTCTCAAGCAGAACAAATATATTTAATTTAAGCAAAGGTTTCATGTTAAGCCTAGTTTGGGTGAACCTCCCTGTAAAAGGATTCACTTGAAACGAACATAGAATGTTGTAAAATGTACACATAAGCTAATCTTTAATGGACTTAATTTTTGTTTACATCAAATAGGACTTTCAAAGCCATCAAGAATTTCTGTGCCGGCAACTGATCGAATCTATTAGAGGTTGGCTACTATATACCATATAACAAATTAGGTATGGTGCCTTCCAGTTCCGAGGTTTGAATGTTTGCTGTTACTTTTAATGAGCAATTTTAGGAAAAAAAAGTGAGCGAATCATGTTTGTGTGACTAAGCTAATCAGGTCGAAAAGTAAAATAATGATTCGTATAGTTAATTGTGATAATAGAAGTCACTAAGTCGCATGCAAGTATTTGCAAATTATTCTAATTTTTCTCTCTTGACTCTTCATATTTTCATTATTTAACATGTAAAAATAATTAAGTATTTTCATCTCTCACTTTTTATATATATTTTTTAATAAATATTCTTAATAAATAGTCAAAGTTGAATTTGATTTATCTATGTCTTTATATTATACTTAAAAAACTTGAACTTAATTCATTTTCAACATCTATGTCATAAGAGAAAAATTATCTAAACTCTTATACAAGGATATTCTTGATAAATGTGAGACATTTTAACACTTATAATACATTTTTTTAATATACTCTGAATTGTTAGTTAAAATTTGTTAAAATTATAAAAATTTTGTGTTATATTATTTTTTACTCTTAATTTAATGATTGTTTGTCATACTTTTGTAAATTTTAGCTGATAATATAATTATATTAAAAAAATTCGTTATAAGATGTGTTCTTAGTATGTTAGTATGAAGATTAATATACTATAAAATAATTTAAAATTATAATAAATATATCTTTTAAAGTAAGTTATCATAAAAAATAATAATTCTTAATATATATATATATATAAGTTATTATAAATATATTCTGAGTACCTTTAATTCAACTTTTTTATCGCTCCCGATTCTTTTTAAAAGTTACTAATGGTTAATCGCTTTAATTTTGAAATCTGACCATTTTTTTTATGTTAATTAAGATATACACACATATAATTACCAAATTCAATAATTAATTATAAAATAGTAATTAAAGTAAATAGGAAATTAGTAATACGTTTATTATATGTCTGTGAAGAGGCTATATTGAATATTAAATTTAATAATATTTTCTTATCTAAAATATTTATTAAATTAAATCAATGTCTCATATAATATTATTATAAGGATATTATAAAATGATACAAATGCCACCAGCATATGGAACAATGTTAAAACCAGAATCAATGTCAAACGTTTATTGTGGGATAAATTAATTAAAAGTTAGACGCCTAAGAGGATTGGAATACTATCTGGTAAAAATGGTAGTCAAAGTTCATAACTTTAATTAGCATCATCCACGACCAAGACCTTATATAGTTTAATCAACTCTCAGATACACTTTCTTTCAATTGAAGTTTACTTATTTTCTGGCCTTCCAAATAGACCAAACAGCAAACACTAACATTGGTTATCTGATTAAGAAACTTTAAAACATGAATATATTAAAGTGCTTCTTCTTTTATTTAATTAAATTTATTAAAGTGATTTATTCATAGCCATTTGAAGTATTATTGTTCATAAAATTTTTAAAAACTATATATAACAATTTTAATGATTTATAAATAAAAAGTTAAGGAAAAATGAGACAGATTATATTTTTTTTATGTAGTCAATGATAATATTTTAACCATTACTGTAGTTTCAAATTTATATTAACAAATCTAATTATTAAATTAAGTTAAACATTTAAAATCGATCTAATTAAAATGATAAACAATTAAAAAAAATATAAGATAAATAACAGTTCTATAAGACATGCATACCTAAATTTCAATCTCAATTTGACTCTCTTAAAAGCAATAACTTCACATTAAGGCAGGTTTAAATGTTTTTTTCTTAACAAATATATATATTTAATTTAAATTTCCTTTATCTTTAATCCTTGCAAAGAACTAAGACGTGTGTATGAGCTTATGATTTTATGGTTTGAAAACAGCAAAGGCTAAAACAGGAAAGGTAAATTTTGAAATGTCAAAAGCATATTTAATTCTTAAAAAGGGTTCAGTGTTGTATTTGTTAATAAAAAATCGAAAGATAACAGGTGTGCTATTATAATTTCATTTATTGTTTTAGTAAATAATTAAAAATCTTCACTTTTCAGAAGAAAAAATAAAAATTTATAGCATTATGTATTTATGAAACAAAAAGTTCTCATCGCTACGAGAACGGTGGATTAATCGGAGGGCCCAAGGAAATGAACTAAACGCGTTCCATCACTCAGGTCTTGAAGGCGATGGTGTATTATTACTATTAGGCCCTTGCAATTACTAACTCAAGAGCGAAGACCCAATGTTGCTAAAAAGTGGAGGCACACCCGTTTCCGTAATCTCCTTCATTGTTGCATTAATTTATGTCCAATATCACACATAAACGGTCCCAATCTATAAGTATCTTTTTATTAAATGAGCAACATTTGATATAACATTAGGATGATATATTTTGTATCGCATTACTTAATTATGATATGAGAAGTCCTATTGCAACATAATGAACGGTCTTGAACTCCACTTTCCATGAAATTCATTCAAGTGAATGTCACATTATTAGTGGCCTAGCCAAATTGGTGTCCACAAGAGTCACCATGGCTCTCAAAAGTGCTTAACCAAGATCAGAAACTTGAGGTGCCCAAAAAGTAGACACTTTTTATAGTGGTAACCGTGAAGTTGATTGAAGAATTTCCATGATTAACAAGGATACGGTGGAGGGCATTTTGGTAATTTAGGGGGGGGGTGTGTGAAGCAATTTATGGTAGGGTTGGGTGAATGATTTGGTGCATGAAAAGACAAAAGAAGGGTCCCCTGATGAAAAAAAGGGCCTAAAATAGAAAATTTAAATGTGGATATGTGTGTGGAAGGGAAAGGTCTCATGGATCCAAGGCTTGTATTGGCCATATGAAGGACAATGGGGACACCACCTTAAATTTTCTTTGATCACTGCCAGCTCTACCATCGTAATATGGTCCAGTGTAGTGTTAATGACCCCTATTAAATGAGTGCCCAAAGACACTTGTCACTTTTATACAAGTCCCACGTGCTCATTATGTCTCCCATAAAGAAAATCATATCCTAAACCCATCAACAATTTTTCTCCTCTTTTAGTATATGCTATAAGATTAAACCTAATTTCAAAATTATTTTACATAATACTATACAATTTAACAACACCATGTAACCTATTAATCGTACAATTATTTCATGTTTGGCGAGTAAAACGCTTGTAATTGTATAATTTTTACACTCATGTTAATTTCGTTGTTTAAGATTAAACTTAAATAATTAATA